AGAGAGAGAGAGAGAGAGAGAGAGAGAGAGAGAGAGAGAGAGAGAGAGAGAGAGAGAGGAATGATGTTATATCTATTTTACGAAGTGAGAAAACGTTGTATTATTCTGTTTCTTCATAAATTTGTATATTGTACTTTGTATTTTTTTGTCAATTATTAACAATAAGCTGCATAATTATTTTTATTTGAAAAACAACATATAATAATACTAACGTGAAATACAAATAAATGAAATAAATCATAATTGACGTCTTCCCATATCGTTGTTCCCATTAACAATGAGCTAACATATGTATCTCTAAGAGCATATGCAAGAATTGCAAAATTGAATCTCATAGACAATTAGGCTATGAAAAAGACAAAACATAATTAATTATATAATCGTAAATGATAAATAGATTCTTATAACGATAATAAATTTAAAAAACGTTTCTTAATTTATATTTTCTTGAATATTTCGCTGATTTCGCATAAATACAACGATGTAAATTTACGGGAACGTAAAAGAATAAAGACTGCCATGAAATTCTGTTTATTCGTGAATATTTTAATACGTTAATATTATCATTTTACGTTTAATTTTTGTTGTTCTTATGTAATAAAAAATAATTTTTGTCGTCTATGAAAATCCATGTTTTCTACAATGAGTCGTCCGCATCTGAATTTGCTTTTTACGTCGACTCGACGAGGATTGTCATGCCATCCTCGTTTGTAAATTTACTCACAGCGGCGGTGCATGGGATATGTTGCATGCCGGTATATTGGTGCTCTTGCTGTGTATCTTGCCATATGAATTGTCGGTTTTTTGGTGATGGTGATGGTAGTTAGAATTTAGAGTCATTTACGTGTGTCACCTTGATCGAGATCCCACTGTCATCTTCGTCCTCTTCGGTCATTGTCGTCAGTCTCGTTGTCTCGTCAGCTATCAATGAGTTGTCCTTCTTTGGATGCTTCTTTTGCTTTCCCACACTGCGTCAGACAATTATGCGAACTTAATCAATTTTCAAAATTAGATGATAACAGTTTGATGTTGATGCTTATATTATTCTTTTCTCTTTTTACTTAAAAATTAACAATATTATAGGATTATCATCGTTATTATAAAAAAATTTGACATTATGATAGAATATATCTTAACTTTTGTTTTTATATTTTTTATAAGGAATATTAATTTATTATTATAAAGGTAATATTAAAATCTATATTAAAAAGTCAAATTCTATAAATGTGTGATTATGCTTTTATTGAAAATAATTATGTCAATTTTAAATTATGTTCAAGTTCTTCAACTAAATTAACTGAGAAACAATTTGATTACAGTTTAACGATTGTCTATTTTTTAGTTGTCGTAACGTTTTGATTTTATACAATCATTACAATATCTTACTTGAATGGAATTTATGATGAGCTTCTATAAATATTCAATTACAAACGACTAAATAAACGAGCAAATACAAGATATTTTATTAAAAATATTTAATATTAATTTCATATACCAATAATAAGAATATAAGAATAGATGTTTCGATTTTTACAGAATCTTCTTTAATATAATTAAAAGAATCTATCTATTTTGTTTGACAAATGTTGCAAATCGAAAAAAATTTCATGTCAATTAAATATTAATTTGTCGTTTATAATTGAATTATTTTGCTGTGCAAATTTCGAGCACTATTTATTTATTTCTTTGTTTTATTCTATAAATATATAAGTAAGATGATGAATTGTCAAATTTAAAAAAACTTCTTCGTAAAAAATTCTTACATTTTAGAAAAATATGATATACAAATATGTAATAAAATTTGAAAATAATATATCAGTAAAATATATAATGTCGTGTTAAAGAGTATCATTATTATAAATAAAATAAAGTATGAATATAGTAAGACAGAAATAAAATACAATATTTAAATAAAGATGAAATAAATAATTTGAAAAATTATTAATTAAAAATGATTAGATTTTATTAATTTAATTAATTAGATAATTTTATTAATTAAAAATTTAAAGTTTCATATAGTCGACAATTTCAGTTATTTCATTCTATGTCTTAAACTTTTATATAATCTTTCCAAAAAATGCATAAAATCATTTGAAATTTAATACTTACTTGATTAGTGATTTTGACTGTTTCGTTTTTTCATTGCCTTCATTGACTTGTTGCCAGATACCAGTTTTATTCACTTCCTCGCTGATATTGATACTTGCCAAAGGAATCTTCATGATGTTCCCATTAGCTAAAGAGATCTGAATGTTCCCTGCAGGAGGTCCATATCCCATTTCGTTGTGTTCCTGCAGTATGAATGAAACAATAGTTTGAATCTCAATATTGATATGTGCGACGAATTTCTATCAGGCCATGCATAAATTCAAGCGAACTTTGCGTTGCCTTCGAACTGGGAAGCAAGTGAAATACGTTGCTTGCCAGCATATTTTTCAATCGATCAATTATACGATAATTATACGAGGAAGTAATAATCAGTCAGGGGCGTCACGTAACACTATGAATAAATTTACAAGGGTGTGACTTGGCGTGTAAATAAGTCTAACAAAGAGAAGAATGCACAATAGAAAAATCAGTGCGATGAATTTGTGATGATAGAATTATTTATTAGTTGTTTCTTTTTCTTTTTCGAGGAGAGGAAAAATTTTAATAAATAACGATTCTGTTCACCTTGAGAGTTACGATCATAATTTGTATCAATATTTTATATTATTTTATCCGTGCATAACGGTATATCAATTAATAATAATCGACATTGATATTTTGTGGAAGTTTGAGGAACTAAAATACCGATATTTACAATACCAAATTAGAAACAAGTATAATATAAATGTATGTAATAAAGGCACATTTTGATATTTTAGCATTATATTAACATTTGTCAATACTTTTTTCATAGTTTAATGATTGAACATCGTGCAATTATGATATTGTTTTAATTCTTAATTATAAATATAAGCTGTAATATATCCTTGCCACGTAATTTGCAGAAAATTCATAACATGCTATTATTGTATTCAATTTAGTGGCGCATGATTACTATTGAAACGCATATATCGCAATGTGCATCGTCGCGTCATTTACCGAAAAATTTCTTCGATTACAAACGGACGTAGAATGTTCGCTGAATAGTTTATTTGCGAAAAGAACATGTCGACTATATGCGACGAAACTACGGACGTGCACTTATGGTGACGTACCGATGACAGGCGGAGGATTCGACTGGCGTTTTTTTTGCGATTTCCGTATTGATATCTCCGTGTTTGTCCGGCTTGTGTGATTTCTTTCAGTCGCTCTCTCATTTTCTCTCGCTGAATCGTCACTCTCCTCCGTGAGTCATGGTGTGCTTCCGTTCAGTTATTCTGTCTTTAATTTCATTGTTAACAACGAACGCACGCAATTGGCTGTTACACGGTGCAACGCTTCACTTAATCACTCGCTCGCGTTAAGATAATTTCAGAAATATTGTGTTCCTTTTACTTTACTCCCTTACTATTATTACCGTATCGTATCATACGAAAAATTATACATAATAATGATTATACTGTTTTATGCACATCCAATTTTAGCTTACTTTTGTCTTCGTAAGATTACGATAAAAAATATTATTTCTTCATTGTCATTAATTTTTAAACCAAAATAAAAAAGAAATTAAGAATTAAAATGACAATTAAACGGGAATCTTTTTTAATAATAAAATTCAGTATAATAAATATGTAACAATACTTTTGTAGTTTAGTTATTAAAAGATTGCAAAAGATTACATATGTAAATTTAGTTTGTATATTTAAATTAAAAATAAAATGAAATGTAAATCCATGAAATGCAATCCAAAAAGCAGAACATTAAAAATGAGATCAATTTTATAAAAAGTAAATTAAGTGTTAATTATCACGAAACTTATAAATTTATTTTATTATTTTATATTACTAATATTTACACATACATAATATTTATATAATATTATATAATATTATGCATTCTTTAGGGCAATAAAAAATTTTGATATTTGACTATTGCGAGAGATAAGTAAGAGCTCTCAAGCAGACGAATTGTAAATTATATACATGAGTCATTAATTGTGTAGGAGATACTGGAATTATAAAGAGATTTCGTGTGTTTCGAAAAAAACAATAATGTATTTTTACATGATAAGATACGTGAACTGCGTGAATGACGGCGCATTAAATCGATACAAGAGTCTCGAATGGTTCACAGAAAAGGATATTAGCGACATGATATATTAAATGCAACAACACTTTGTTTCGCCAAGTCGCGAATATCAATTGCGATGTGTCGATCGCTATTAAATAAATATCTTCGTTGATATCATTTCGATGATAGGACCCGCTTTCCGTTTAATCAATTAACTAAGAATATATTTAAAAATTCGCAATGCTGCGAACGTGTACTCTCCCATGGTGAACTGATCATAATTTTATTTCAAATAGCCCTTTGTTTGCTGTAATGTTGGAATGTATAAATTATAGAAGAAGTGCTACATTAATTTATTCGAATGTATGAACAAAAACGATACAATATTGCTTACCTTGCAACAATAATTTTTCCTTAACTACCGTTAATAGTTTGCAATGTCGTGCTCGATACGCGCAACTATGTTTGTAACTATGATACTCGTAAGAGTAATATTATTCAATTATTATTCAATTATATTACGGCGTAATAACGAAAATTGCATTTCCTTATCTCTATCTTAAATTCGCCTAAGATTATATAACCAATATATGTATATATAAACAATGATAATTATGTATAATCCCATCAAAGACATCACACATCAATGAAAACATCGATAAAAATTCATCGCGCGCGGTTCACCATTGAAGAATAATCTGGAAACTTGGAGCGAATTATTGCACAAAAATAAAATTTCGGATAGTCGCCAACGTGTTCGAAGCGCTCGCAAAAACGACCAACATTCAACACATTACTCTAATTTCGCTACAACAACAATGCTATCGATAAAAACGTTTAAGATTGCGGTATCCAAAAGTCTACCGCATTCAAAAATTCAACAACGATTATATATCATAACATTTACTTTAATACTGGTCGGTTAGTACACCACCTGGATTTGAGGATAAAGATTATTTGGCACGTGTTCCGAGTGGAAGACGAGAGGATGGCTTTCAAGGCCGAGATTTGGTTCGTTAAAAAAATATAAAAATTTGCCGCATAAAATGCTCGAAGCAACAATATATTACGTATTTTCATAAAATGGGGTAAATTTTAAGTCGTGTTTCAAAAAATTTCTATAGACTGAAAACAGTCTATGTACGCATATTTTCGGAACGTTTTTTTTTTGTTTTTTATAGTACCATTCTCGTCATTCTATTTCAGGCGGTGAAAAATGTCATTTGCGAAAATAAAAAAATCTTGACCGCAAAAAGGAGGAAAGTGTTGTTTCGACGAAATAGTAAAAAGTGTGCGTTTTGTGTAAAAATTATTGGTCCGTCCGTACTTTTCTTGTAAATTATTAAAGGTCAAGTTTGGCACTCTTAAATTATCCGGCGTATATATAATTATGCGCTTTAAATTAAATTATATTCTAGCCTCATATTCGGAGATCCTAAATTTTTACTCGAATTTGTTCCGCGCAACGACGAAAAACTAATTCGTTTTAGGTGACATTCGTCCGATCACTCATCATAGTATACATCGTTTCTTTTACAAAGGGCGGATTCTCCAAAATCGGAGAGAGTTATGGTGACCACGGGGCGAGCGTTCGCCACGCGATCACCTTCTATATGCTATTTGCGACAGGTGATGGCGTTTAATATTCGTGTCGCGGTGCTAACCTCGCCGTTCTCCAGCTTACGAAGATCGTCGGCATGTTTCTTGGTTGTTTCCGGCATTATGTCGTCGAGGATTTTCAGCTCGCGTTGCGTAAACATCAAATCCAGGGATTTGCGTATGCCAATCATTACCACGAGCTGTAAATATTTACATTATAGATTACAAAGATATAAACATTTATATTAAGAATTATGTCCTTGAAAAAGTATCATTTGTGTGCTTGCACAAAACATGTCAATTCTGAGATTAAAATTTTTAGCTTTATGATCACTATAATGAGAGTCTAATATTAAACGTCGATATATGTTAGATAAATTTATCGAGATATGTACCTGACTTTTTAATAAAACGATGACTTTTCTAAGACCAATTTAATTTACTTTGTAAAATAATTTATTAATAAATAAGATGGTTAATTGATTTTTTGGTCCTTTTGTAAATAAAAAAAATAATAGGTATATTTTCATTAAAATTTTTCTGTTTATTACATCTGGATTCGTAAAAGACACAATACAAATATTATTAAATTATTGAATGACTTATTAATTCTTGGATTAATCACTTACCATTAAAGGAAACAAAATAGAAGTATGACTGAAGGATTTTATGAGCCATAGACAAGCGAGGCAAGCAAGTTGAATCGCAGTGAACATATGTACACGTTTCAACGGAACCTAAAAACATGTATTTGGAATTCAAATGTTGGAAATACCGTAACTTTAAATAACTATCTGATAAAATTTGATTTTTCTTTGCAATACGAATATAAATAGTCATTTATCATTTTTGCATGCTCAACACGAATCCATTGGCTATTAATTTTAAACAAAATGGAACAAAAAGGTTAAAAATAATTTTACAGCCAATTTTTTTTCTAAATTTCATTAATGTCACACGAAAGTATTAGTTTTTAGTCTCAAAATAAATTTTATTTTGTGTCGATATTATTTTTATTTTCAGAATATAGCAATTTGAAAATAGTTCTTTTCTAGATAGTTGAAAAAGTATTTTATTTTATCTTAATATTGCATTATGTGAAAATTAAATAATTTGTATTAAATAATTTTGTATTTACATAATAAATGTAACGGATAATATTGGATCATGTTAAATAAAAAAAAACAATATTGATCAAAATTGACAAAATATGATATGATAGGAAGATTGTAATTTTAAATCATGGAAATTAATAATCTTCCTGCCTAATATATTTATATTGTATTTTGTTAATTTTATATTAATACTTGTTGGTTTAGTATGATCCGATTATATTATATTAGTACAAAAATATTTATTTTTCACATAATGCATTAATTAAAATGGAATAAAATGCTTTTTTCATGTTACATTATATTTTTTATATTATATGGAAAAGGGAACTATTTTCAAATTGCATTATCTTGAAAGCAGAAAATTATACCGAAATAAAACGAAATGCATTTTTAAAGCTAAAAATTCATATTTTTGCATGATATAATCGCATTTTACACTTCTCTCATATATTGAAAAAAATTTTTTGACAAAGCTATAAATATCATAAACTACAAATGTCATAAAGATGTTTTTAAAATTATTATTTTTTGTCTCTTTAACAGTAACTTTCTCAAAATTATAATGTGATAGCCAATTTTGATTAACGGATTAGTATTCAATAGATAAAAATATATATAAGAAATAATTATTCACTATCTTGTTGAAAAATAGTGTTGGATAATACATTAATCAGATCAATAGGAATTATAAAAAATGCTAAAAGTTTTGAAATATTTTATTAAAATTAATATTTTATTAAAGAAAATATATCCTAAAAGAAACACAAATTTATAATGAATGCGTTTCAAGTTACTTTAAAAATATCCAAACGTCGGAACTTTATTGATTTACCTGGCGAAGGAACATGTAGTCTGGTTGATACTTAACAGGCATCAGCATTATCAGAATTCTATCGAAGAATTGAAGACCTTTTAGCGACGCGACACCCATATATAGGAAGACACCGAATAGCACCGGCATCGGTATGTTTCTTAGCATCGGTGTTAGGAGCACCGAGCACCCGATCATCAGGAATATCAGTATGTGAGTAACTCTTTGTTCACGAACACCTAAAAACTGCGGCTTCTCGCCCGGCGCAGCGCACTCGGATTCCAATTTTAATGAGTTTACATGGTTTATAGAGAGGACTGTCGCTGCAACAAACCATGGAAGTCCCATTACCGAGCATATCTCGATCAAGATCGATAGAACAAAAAGATCCAAATGGTACCCGCATCCTTTCTGAAAAAGCATTAATAAGATCTTTGATAGAGTTTATTATTGCTATATTATTGCAAACTATTGTTAATTATTCAATGTACTCTTTTTTTACAGTCCTTTCAAATGACATCTATTATATATCTATTATATATTATTAATATTATTAATATTATTATATATTATTTAAATAACATCTATTATGTATTGATGAGAACAGATAAAGGCGTAATTGCTTACCTTTAATTTGTTCTCTTTTCTATTAACAATAACGGCCGTGATTTGCTGATCCATGAAAATCAATATAGTACCCAACAAAGCAGGGAGGAATGCCCCGATAGCACTCCACCACGGATTCCCTTGAAAAGGCCAGATTATCCATCCTCGTCCTTCCAATGTTGGTTTGAATTCCGTCGGCACTTCCAATTTCGGTGTTGGAATGCCCACGAAATGATCCAATGTGCTCATAGAGAATATCGCTATTATTACTGCAAAATCGCTCACCACTTGTCTCACCTAAAGCAACATAGAAATGCCAAAAAAGAATATGATAATGTGATGAAAATAAGACAAATTATTGAGTTTCTAAAAAATAAAGATATGCTTATAGTATCTAATTTTTATGAGTAATAATTTTAACTCTACTCTTATAACTTCTTTAATATTTATTTTCAAAAAAGATAAAGCTGTTGTACCTTCTTTTTCAATTAAAACATGTGTTTTTACCTTTGAGGGAAAAAATAAAGCATTCTTGAAATCCTTCAGCTCTATTGATAATAAGAACGTGCCCATGAATAGGATAATTGACATAAGGAACACGTCGGGTACATAATGTGGTATGTTGCAGCCATCGCCCACCATACTGCCATTGTAATTCTGAAAGAAGCAATAACGAACACGACGTCAAAGCAGGAGCGAATTAGATTGCTTGAAAGATCATATTTTCTCATAAATTCAAAAACACCTAGTAATCTACTTTGCACATAGGAACTTGTAATTTCTCAAGAAAATATAAGAAGAAGCATACGCATTTGACTGTTGTGATTGAGCGTAACGAGATGTTTGTGTGCTGGATGTTTTTTTATCATTCAAACAAGATATCAAGTAAAGTCATCAAGTGAACTGATATTTAAATAAAATTTGTAATTTTTAATTATGGCATCAGGTTACATAAATAATCAAGACAAAAATTGTTTTGATAATTTTGTAATGAGAGTTTTTTTGTGTGTGAGACCCGATTATCTGCGTCGCTAACTTAATATAAAAATTTCTGATCTTTTGATTTAATAGAAAAATTTCAAGTATCAGTCGCTGTGAATGAATATAGTTAATCGTAACGTAGTCAAACGGAACGCTCCGATATAGTCATATTAATGCACTTTAATGAAATTCAATCAAAGATTTCAAGGTGTATAAGGAAAAGTATTCTTAACAATAAGCGAATTGTCGCATGCTTAACTTCTCATACTGACTTTTATATTATTTTGAAAAATTACATTACCTCGCAAGTTGTTTTATCTAACATAGTCCAATTCATATTGTTATAACTGGATGGCAGACTGGTATTCGGTGGTTTACACCAGCAATCATAGTCCATTGTTTCGCTGGAATAGGTGTTTAAGGGATATTTCTTGCCAATTGAAAGCACGTTTTCGATTGCCTAGAATGTACTGATACACTTAATACATATAAGATATTAAACAGATAATTATATAAAAAATATAAACGCAACTTTCGCTTAAATAATCGAATGCATAGCATTAATTTTTTTATGATTAAATAATATGTTTTTTAAAACGACTTTTAATATCGAAGAATATAAAAGAATCGATAATAAAATTTAATAAATTAATGTTGTATCTAACTTATAATACCGGAAGCAATACGATTATTTTTACCTTATAGATAAAAATGAAGGCGATGAGAGTGGCAAAATTTTCCTCCGTAAATCGAGTGATATAACAAACGCAAGCACTTGCATCAAGAGCCACGAGAATCATCAAAATTATGGAGATCCATGTACCGATCCAAAAACGGAAAGACATATAACTCCAGTCGACTTTTCTGCAAAAATAATGATCAGATTATTTTGGAGAAAGAAGATGTTAATAAATAAGATTTTCTATTTTACTCGTTCAATGACTGTATCTTTTGGAGTTACAATATGATTAAATGCTAATTAGTTATATAAAGTAATACAAATTTTGTAGAAGTTAGTTGAAATGTAGATAGATTGTTTATCAAGACTCACTTGCAGAATTCGTAGACAATCGTCTCGAAAACTAAAACTGGGCCGGTGGAACCAAGTATAGTCAATGGCTGACCAGAGAAGAAGCCATATCCAATGCCGCAGACGAAACCGGAAACTAGCGATTCCATAGCAGCCATGTTTTTTCCGGTAGCCTCGCTGAGGAGGCCACCGAAAGTAATGATGGGTGACAAGCAGGCGAAATACAAGAAAATAAAAGACGCGACGCATTGAAGTGCAAGGGCATCCTTGAAATCGTAAAAGTAAAATGGACCTTTTCTTTTAATGTCGTTAATCAGACCGCCGAACAGTCTACCAGTCCTCGAAAGACCGGATTCTTCCCTTAGCTTTTGTTCATCAGCTTCCTCGTCGAACTCTTCCTTAGGCTTTTCCTCTTTGGGTCTCTTTCTGACTTCCTGAGAACGTAAAGTCAAACTGCGATTGAAGTGATGAATACTTTTCATAGACTTGTATTTTTAAAAAAATATCAAAATTGATATAATTTTGATTGTTTCAATTTCAATATTATGGACACACGCAAGAAAGAATTTTTCTTGTCACATGCTTCTATCGTCGATAAAGATAGAGATTATTTTTATGCGTTTAATTATGTAATATTGAGATCTGAATTCATAAAGATTATATCACTTCTTATTCCTGACAAGACTATTCTCACCTGCGATGGTATAGCGGCTGGCGGTTCTATTCTGATTGCTGGATCCCACTCACCGGGTGGTAATACCGTCACGGCATCTAAGAACTCGTCAATACCAGCTAAGAGATGATTTCTATTTTTTGCCTTGTAAGCCACATCGTGGAAGACTTCGTCGGACATCAAGGTCGCCATAGCTCGACCAATCTCATGGAAACCCGAAATCCCACCCTAAAACCCACCTTTATTTAGAAACTAACCAATTTTATAAATTCTTATAGATATGTATATTTCGTGTATTTTTTAATGTAATTTTAATATTGTAATGTATATATTTTTTCCATCTACTCTTTTTATTACTTAAATAATTACTTTAATAATTTATTATAAAATACCATTATAAAAAAATAGTGCATTAACAAGATTAATAATAATTATTGCATAACTTATCGCGAACAATTACTTAATACAAAATAAGATGAGATGAGGTGAAACGTTAAGGGTTTATAAGAACCTATGAAGATTATCAGTCGCGTGTAACGCGCGAAAATAACCAGTATCCCTTATCGATAAATAATTTTTATCACAAAGATATTATACCCATACAATCTAAGAACTGATATGACGTAAATTCATTTTTATTCAAGAAAGGAAGACGTCATCAAAATTCGATTTGATGCTTTCAGGTTTATTAAAATACAGAATAGCCTCTCATATCTACTACGTGTGCAAAAATGATATAAATAATTCATAGAGTAACTCTAATACGCCGCGCTGGGATTTACGTCGCAGAAGTCAGAAAAAAATAGAAGGAGTGAGGGTAATTTTCTCGCAACTACTCTGTTATTCTATTTGTCTTTATGTTATATATTAGTATTAATATTATTATAGTTGTATTTTGAGTTATGATTTCAGTTTCTTACTGTTAATATTAAATTGAATTATTATGAGTTGAATCGATTTATCACTGTAATAAGTAGCGCCATCATAAATTATAATCTACATAAATAATAAATGAATAGGGCGTATAAAAGACTTATTGTTAGTGGTTATTTCATGATGCATATGTGTAGAGGAATAATAAAGCATGTTATAGCAAAATATAAATGCTTTGCTTTTGTATTCTTTGTTTAGTTTATTGTCTTGTATATCTCACCTGTTTGGGATATATGGAATTTTTAGCGGGCGGGATTTATGCCCAAAGCATACAAAGTGCGCAGATTGAATTCAGTGCACTAAATGCAATAAGCGCATTACATGAAATATGCAACCTCATAACACTTGTAATATATGTAGGAAGATTATAATTATTATTTATTACTTCATATACGTATTTCTCATTTTTATTCCTTAATAAAATTTTAAACGCATTTTTTTATAAGTTATTGTGGCATTTTATGTCTCATTTTTATGCATTATTTGTAAATTTGTAAAAAAAAAATTTTTCATGAGTCGTACATACCTCTCCCTCTCTCCCTATTAGTAGCCATATATCCCATCCTTATATACAGCAAAAATGCAAAGTTTTCAAAAAGTTTATTTTTTAATACAAAAAATAAATATTTCGGATTTCTAATATTTTTTTCATAGTAGATAGTACAAAATTTTTATTGATATATAGTTTGTTTTAAATATAATAAATAATATTTAATAAAGTATTAAGTTTTTGATAGGTACGCCGTATGTACCGGAATTACTCTATAATTATCAGGAGAATGATATTACTTTAATTTAAATTATTTTTATATTTAATGTTATTTAATGTTATTTAATATCATTTAAATTTTTGGTAATTAATATTTTACTTGAGAATTTTTACATTTTTTATATATTTTTTTATTATAAATTTTTGAAAATTTATTAATAAAGTGATATATATTGGGTTGTCCGGAAAGTTCGTGTCGATTTTGAAGGAAAATTGAAACGCAGAAGATTTAAATTTTTAATTTCATTTATTAAATTTAAATCTTTTGCGGCACGAACTTTCCGAACAATCCAATATATATATATTGAAATTTCTTATATTCATTATCAAAAAAATAAAAATATTTAAATTTGAACCAAATATGACTAATGGAAAAAATCGTTTTTCAGAGAATAATGTTGCACATGTAAAAATAAATATTGCAGTTTATAAAACATGTTAAGATCACAATGGCTTATGTAAATCGCATTTACGTGAAAAATAAATTACTTTACATATAAATCTCTCGAGATAATAATCAGCGGACGCATACGTCCGCCGATTATGTTCAGGGATCTATATGAAGTAAGTTATTTTATCACATAAATGCAATTTAAATATACGCTATTGCGTTTTTGCATGCTATTGTTAGGGAAAAATAAGCAGTGCAAGCACTGCTTATTAAAGATTTAATTACTCTGCTATGGGAAAAGATGACCTTCTCGTGTCTCAAATTGATATTTAGATGCATATATAATATTCACATAAAGTGAAAACCTTGCTCAATTTGGATTAGTTTGTTCCGTTTTTAGGTCTCACCTATTTGAGATTGAGTGTGGTGAAAGATGATTGCCTGTGATAAGTCATTGATATAACTATAATAGCCGAGTAGTGATATTGATTCGTGCAGACAATTTAAGACAAAGTCGGAGAATTCGTTAATTGCTAACGAATTTGAATATACAGCAATTTTATTTGATAGCCCTATAGTTGGGAATTATCTTTACATTACACAATTTATTTATACGTTACGTTGATATTTTAATATTTCATAAAGTTTCGGACTCGCGTGTACTATATTTCTTTCGAACTTCTTTTGAACATAGTAATCTCTAAGGAGATTACCTGATACTTTCAAATGAATATAACGTTCCGAAATAAACAAGTTAGAATTTTAAAAATAGCAATAATTTTATTTTTTTTGTTATAGAAAGTTTTTCTCTTATGAACTTCAATTGCTATTTAGTTTATACGACGCATTTAAATTTATATAACTTTAAATAAAAATAACATTATAATAAAACGAGACAAATTAATGCAATTTTATTGTAATATTATTTTGAATATCGAGAGGTCTATGAAAAAGTGTTTTTACCGTCATTTAAATAAAAAGAAAGAAAACAGATTATATTCATAATATATAATGATTGTATCATAATTATATCTGTAATAAAAGTATTTTAGTGGAAAAATTAAGAAGAAGAGGTTTGTATATAAGATAAATAAATATTAATTGGTCGATTTGAACAAAATCTTATATTTAATATTATCCCAGCCAAAGTCCGAATTTAGATCTATTATTATCGAAAATATTTCTCGAATAAATTCCTTATAGATGAGATAAGTATTAACATTAATATTATTTTGATTATTAATTTGATAAGGATTCTACATTTTCAGATTTTGATAAAACTGTGTTTTAAGATAAAATAGTAATCAGCATGCTTTAAAAGAGAGAACACGAGTATATATAAACATGCAATATACAAAATTCACAAAATTTATTAATAGGCGTAAAATTGCGTTGACTAAAAATGTCAATATTTATCTTAGGTTACATATTAATGATTTAGTTTATCTATTTAGTCTATTTTACATAAGATGTGCAGCTTAAATAAAGTATATTATATGATTTTACATATAGTAAAATTACTTTTCATCACAACAATTATATATCTAGCTGATGCGTGAATCTCAAAGAAATGATGTTTGAAGTAGATTGAGATCATAACTCTCTCGCTTTTTATTTTTACATTTAATCCCATCTCTACATATAAGTCGCGATAGTAGCGATAATAGCGTTCTTACCATGGGTCCCAAGAGGACAAAAATGAATCTTGTCGGAACAGGAACTTCTGTCAGATCTCCCATTATTCCAGCTTGGCTTAACCGGATGAATGCGGACAAAGTCTTGTCGAGAAAATCGACTTCACCTACGAGTATGTTGCTTGCCTCAGCGCCGGCTGGTATCTTCCTCATAAAGTGTGTATTACCCTAATAAAAAAGTGGAGTTGAAGTTAAACTTCTTGGGTTAAACTGCTTGCGATACGAAAAATCAATCTTGACATTAAAGGATAAAGATTAGAAGGCTCTTTACTAAAGCATTACTAAAAAAATTAAGCGATTCTTTGATTAAGTGTTTGTCGGATATTTAAAATAATGGAAGGTAATTGGCTAATTATTATGGCTACGTTCGGTTTAAGTGGTTATAAACTGTGAGCTTTTCTATATATTCTATCTTTATTACTAATTACATGCGACAGAAAGATAAAGTAAAGCTTATATAGCGTTAGCGTTAAAACTGAATGTAGTGATAATTGATTTATGATAATTGTTTTTGCACGAGGCTAAATACATTACGTGTACGAATATCGTACAGATTTACAATTTTTAATTATACAATATTTAATTCAATATTTTACAATAATTTAAAAATTATTAATATAATAATTTAAATATTATAATTATAAAATTTTTTTGATATTACATAACTATCATGGTATAAGGTTACGCTAAATTAGGAATCTAATTCCTCAAAGATTTGATTACAATAATGTATTTACGAACCTTATGATTAACGTCTCCGTTTTCTAAAGCGGAGGAGCTGTGATTTCTGCTGATAGACACGCTGCTGGGACTTCGATCCATGCCGTTGCTGCCTGGTTCTTGGCCTGAAAGAGATCTAGCTTACTACCTAAATTTTTACACACAGTTTGAGTAATAATCCCTGTCAATAGCATGCAATGAGGAAAATGATGGCTTTCATTCGCCTATGCGTCATTAATCCTCCAAAATGCGCGCGCGCGAGACAGATTGCAATTTGTACAGCTCGAATTTCACGCGCCACGTCATTCGCACGAATTCACCTCTGCGAATAATACGCGTTCCACTTTAAGACAATCTGTCAGGATAGAAAAGAGCAAACACGCTAACAACAAAATTATTCATCAAATCTCTGAAAAAACTGACTTTTCTTTAAGTTAATTCAAACTGTATGTTTGCAAAATAACAAGAAGTCGGCTTAGATCATGAAGAAAATTTTTTTTAAATTGTTCTTTTTATACACGTGAAAGGCTCGCTCATAAATTCAAATCAAATTTTTTACTTTGATAGAATTAACACGTGAGTTCAGAATATACCAGAACTTTATTAAATTAAGATGCGGTAATAATAACATTGTAATATTAAATGTACAATTTGTAACATTTATTAAACACACATCAATCCGTAGGTAAAAATGTTTTAATTTGAACAAAATTTTTCAAGATCTTTTATCTTGTAAAAAAATCGCGAAATAAAAGCAGCATTTTATGTAAATGAATGTAAAAATGTTTATTAAAGATATAGTTTTTAACAATTCCTAAATATTAATGATTTTTAACCGCGAAATAAAATGATATTGATTTCTGTATATTTATAATCACAAATAATAATTCAATATTCATAATTTTGTCTTATTTGCAACATTATGTTGCAATTTTATATTATTTTTAAGTTTTATCAATTAAATGCATTTTGCAAAACAAATTATTTCAAATTCTCATCAAAAAGAGAGTTAAATCTTTTATGTATAAATATCTGTTTAATTATTTAATAGAATTTAAGCGTCATCGAAAAGAGATATTATCAGAGATATTATGAAATACAGACGGATTTTAAGATTATTAAACTGAAATTAATTGCGTGATAATAAAAAATCACATTAATTTATTTATAATTCTAAATCATTTTTTTTAATATTAGCATACACAATCGATATCAATCGATTTATTCGATTGTGCAAATCAAATAAACGTTTGATCGAAACTCATTATACTTAAAGTAGCACTTGACCTTTGCATCAAATGTTAGTGAAGATCACACTAGTGATTCTTTGTAAGGATAACCTTATTATAAATTTTTCTGAAACCTTATCGTATTAAAATAATACAAACTCTACTTTGCAATTTGATATTTCTCTATAATTTTTTAGATATTTTTAGATATTGTATTTCCAACTGAACAGAAAATCGCTTGAAAATACAATATCTGTTCAAATATTTCTAGATTTGTGATATTTAATTAATCTGTTATATTCTTTGGCAGTTATTTAAATTTAAAAAATCCTTAGATTATTTTTAATAAATGTATAATAATTAATATTTCTATCATTCATTTTTACGTCGAATCTTCTTTCTACTAAAGTAATTTCAAAAATTGGCAAGAGACATAATGACATCTGGCGCAATTTATAAATCGCCACCATTATGAAATATGATAAAGATACTTTGATCATTTCTAACAAACGATAAAGTTTGTTAAATCTTCCGGAGTTCCAATAACAATCCATTTTGATCACAATGATTTCTCATTTGTCGAGCACAGCGTGGGTAATTGCTACTGCAGATTAATCTACTTATACGTATGGAACTTCACTACGGATTAATGCAGCTCGCGAGTATAAAGGTGTGTATGAGTAGAAAGCAAGCACAGAAAAGCGGTTTACCGGGATTGCCGGGTATCGCAAGGAAGCGGCTACCAGCATTCAGCGCTGCTCCACTGCCCTGACTTGTTGCGCCGGCGATCGCCGGAGCGGAATTCGATTCCTCCACTAAAAATGAGCATGAAACACAACACCAGGATCGTCTTTTATTTACAAAGGAAGGTGCAAGAAGGAACAAAGGATTCGTCACCAATCACTCGCGATCACTTTAAATGTATAAACTCGAAGTCACTTAAAATGTATAATAAAACGGTTCGCATATATATCATCCATTTTTCATCGTATTTCTCATCGCGAAAATAATCCTTCAGGATACAAGATAAATTAGTCGAAATTAAAAATAGTTTCGTTAGTATACACTAGAGATTAAACTCAATCTGGAAATTTAATCTGAGAAAAGATTGTCGCGTGCAAACAAACAGCCTGGTTCCGGAATATTCCATGTACATGAGTACACGTGCCAATTGCAATATTATCGTGGGGAGAAAATTATACATGCAATTGTTTCTATTTTTATATAGAAAATATACGCAGGGATGTGGTAGTGGTAAATACATTACAAAATCTCTTTGTGCGACTTTACCGCACGTTTCATCGCATTGTTGATTTTTAACATCGCTTCATTTGTATATATTTGTCAGTAAGTTTCGCAGTAGTCGCGAAGCGACTCAAAATGGCTCACGAACCGTCGACATTAAAAGGAACATAAACAATGAAACGCTTCATTAATTAACAAAGAACACAATAAATTCATTGAATTACGGTCCATTGAATACGTTCAATGCTGTATATTGCACTTATCGTAAATCGCTTTAATATTGGAGTCTTAAAATATATATAACTTAAAATGTATAACAAACTGAAAAATTATTACATTTTTTGCAAAATTCACAATAATTTACTTTTTTCCATAATTCAATATTCATTTTCTTGCGTTCTATGAAACATATACGTCTCAAAATATAACATTAAAGAAATCGTATTTATTTTCGCTTCTTCACAGGTTACAAGGAGAATGGATTAATGTTAGGATACTGAAAAGAGATTAGTCGATTATAACACTGAGAACCATAAATGCACAATAATGAATGTATAATAGACAGGGTTTACATCGAGTTACGTGCACTTAGTAAGATCACATAGAAAGATCCATGCCTCATGATTGGAATTATAAATGTTGGCCTACAATTATCAACGAAGGAACGTGCATGTTGATCAATGGATAATGAGACCGCAAACGGTAAATTGTAGTAACGTCACGTATGATAGGAAGTAAACCCGTCATTCGCAAATATATTACAATTCTCTATATATTCTCATACATTTAATATCGCTGTCTGGTCTTATTTGCTTAAACTGAAGGGTGATAGTCAATATCAATAGAAAATGGTAATTAGACAGCCGTATTTAATGCCAGTGAGAATACAGATTATGGGTGACCACAATCCATTTCTCGTATTGCTGTAACCGCATTAGCAACCGCATAATCAATTTCAATGTGTATTGCGAATGATCAAGATGTGTCTAATATTCAAGAGGTAGAATTGAGCATAGTATTAGTTGTGGCTAGAATAGGTCAGACGCGTATCTACAGTGTAGTTGACATTTACACTCTTGTCGATAAGGACACGTATAATATTTGTAGAAGTAATATTTTTTCGTGGATTAATATCTGACTGTTCGAATCAATGACATGTAAAAAAAACTATCAAATTGTTACGAAATTTTGAATCTGTGCGACATCTATTTTGCCAGATTACCCGGAATTCTCGTTTCGCATAAGAGAATGATATATCCTTATAGTTGAAACTTTTGTGCATTACAATAAAAATAATTCTATCGACATAGTTGAAATAGTAGGATTGACAAGAAACCGAAATGAGTTTCATCGAACGTCGATCACGAGCTTATATGATAAGACACGTGATAAAACACGAAAGATGACAGAGAAGAGATTTTAATATAAATATAAACGGAAGATAAGTGAGAAGTAGAATTTTGTGCAGATTCGTAGAATCGAGAATAAACCATCTGGCAAGCTAACCTTTTAGCGGACACATCGCGAACCACGTTGTGAATCCCACCACGTGGGGTATGCCAAATTCGTCTGACAAAAGAAAAGAAACGATGGTAAGTTACAAATTTTCGACCGGCTTGAGCTCCGGAGCACGAAGAGGGTGACTCGATGAAGGCGATGAGCAGTCTTGATGACGCCAAGTATTTCACATTGACAATCAATTAGCAAGACAATCACCAAGAAACATCAGGCAGTTGGGGAATGACCATGGCTTGTAAATCCAATGGATCGCGGACGGATCCAGCGACAATCGAGATTGTCTTGATCCTCGCTTGATCGGCACGCACTAAGACACACAATCCAATGATACCAAGTTATAGCTAAAAGTATCGCTTGCCTCCCAAATTCATATAATCATAGATTCTAAAATTTTAAAATTTTGTCCTTAGCGTATTTAATTAAAATGAACTTTTCAAGAATTATATTGTTCTATATCCTTATTGGCATATCAGAATGTAAGTCTATTCAGTTTATCAAATCACGAATCTCTCAGGATCGAAGTTGCAAAACTAGACTTGCCAATGCTTTTAATTTCGTAATAAAAACACCCTAGCATTTGCGAAGCAATCGATACACGCATGTTGTAATTGTTAGTGGGTTGTTCCATTGGGGTGTGGTTAAAAAAGCGACGAAAGCACCGCAATCCAAGGCTGCTTAGCGGATGAACTGGCCTAAGTTGTACCTGGAACCAGAAGATACGGCCCTTTGAGATCTTTCGCCTCTTTCGACAGCGGAGCCATGTTCGAATTCGGGCAGCTGCTGCTGCGAGCCACGGACGGTACGTAAATATCCTTTGGATCACGACGCTCCTGCAAATCTGACGTCAACAACGCATGCATACCACATGAACAGTCGCTATCTGAAAATGTCGATTGTGTCGTACGTGTTTTAACAAAGTTAGCACACTCTAGGACCCTTGGACCCGACTCTTTCGTCTCGCCACCGTCATCAGGGTGGTCTTCAACGAAAATGCAGGTGAAAATAAAAACAAAATTGGATTAGAAATTAAGAGAAATTAAATTAAATCAAACTCTTAATGATCCGAAATATCAAAGATTAATGAAAGAAAATTAATTTGTAAAATAAAAATTAAGAAATAAAAAAAATCAACTTTAATTCAGCTTCAAATTAAAAAATTTATTATTGTTATATATTTAAACATTATTTCGGATCATTACGAGCCTATAAAATAATGATTAAATGTATATATTAATTTAAATAATAAAAATTATGATAGGTGATAGAAATATATTATCTTGTTTATGAATTAATAATAATTATAGTGTTTATTACACCATTTATCATATAATAAATTTATAATAAAATTTATTTATTATTAAATGAAAAACAAAATACAATTTAGAAGAAATGGCAAATGAAATATAAATATAAAATAAAAGGAAAGCGCAAAAAGGACATGTTAGATAGATAAATGGGGTGCTACACGCTGAGACAATCTGTGTTTTTCTGAGCGCCCATGTGCCTGATATTAAAAACATTATGTACATTATTTGTGTAGAGCCATCGACAACCTGTCGAAAAGTAATTTATCGATATTGTGAGAGGAACAAGTAACGTGAAACTTACTTTTTGAGGAGGAATGATTGCGTCCTATCTCAGCTAATGATCTTATGATCGGTAACTTCGACATGTTATTGTCTTTACGTCTTTCGTGTTGATGCCGATGTCGGACAAGAAGGGCTTCTCTCACCTGAAATGATATTATATTTTGTCTAGTCGATTTATTAGTGGTACATGTGTGCCTGACGTGCAAAATATTGATTTAAATCAAAAATATGAGGAATAAATATAGATAAATCATAAATCTTTTAGTTCTCTTCAATCAATAAAGAGTGACATTATTTTCCATCAACGGTAATATTACTTTTTGTATAATCAATAATTTATCCTGTCTTAACGAGATATGAATGAATTTTATATATATGCGTTATATTAGTAGCGAAATGTGAGGATTATAAATGTATTTGTAATCTATTTAAGGATATCGTGGTAAAAACTTTCCATTTCAATAGGACAGGTATTTAAATGATTTTTTCTCACGCGCGTACATTACTGTATTCTTACCTTCTCTCGCAATTCGACTAACAATACTCCTTTATTAATCATGTTATCGAGAACAAGATCAGCTATTTGTTCTAAGCTGCCTGCTTCCATATCGAGCATGACGGTCCCGTTTAAAAGCAGACTCCTTAATTCAAAGAGTGAGTGCAGTGATAAGGTGGCAACATGAGGTTTGCTCCACCTATTGCCACCTTCTTCGACATCTTCCTCGAACTTGATCCATCTGTGTATATTATATTTGTACGTACAATATTTGTATATGTACGTATAATATTTGCGATATTTCTTTATAAAAATATTTCGTATTTTATTTTAAAGATAAAAATAAAAATTTCAGCTCTTAGTTTTTTTTTGAGTTGAAAGTTGAAAATTGAAATATGCATAAATTCAAAATTTTTAATTTGTGCTTTCAAAGAATTATTATTACAATATTTTATGCATAAAAATTTTTATTCTTGTTTAATTAAAATTTTATTCTTGTATTATTAATGTTTTCGTTTAATTATTTATTTTGATGTACTCAAAGAATTACAATTATGTGTTTTGTGTTATACATTTTGTTATATGATTGTTCCGCATATGCATAACTGAATAAATTAGATATTATTTTATGGATATATATATATATATATATATATACTATTGTGGAACGGATGGTTTCAATGCGTAACATCAATGCGTAAACATATTCTCGCATTTCAAAAAATTAAAATCGACAAAATGGAGTTGTAATTCGACTTTTACCTCGCTGTTTCCTTCCATTCCATTTCATCGCCATCCTTAATGAGCTCCTCCATTTCCGAGAACAACGGATGCGATTCGTGTGCATCATCACCGACTTCCTCGCCAAGGATAAACTGCACTCTCTGGGCTGGTGGAGTGACTAAACAATTATGCAATAAAGCGTGAATTACCAATTTCAAAGTCGTAATCGGTAACAAAAGTATGCGAAAATATATACAATATTTAAACAGAGAGGACATACATTTATATCAGAATATATATGCCAAGTATAACAAGATATAACAAATGAGAAATTTGTTTTAAATGACATCGTTTACGAAATGTTTAGCTAAATGTGATTGAAAAGTTGACAAATGCAAAATACATACAATATTATAATATTATAACAGCAGACATTCTGATCTCAATTTTATATTATTTACATTATTCATCAAATAGAGATTAAGAGTGATAACTTTTACGAGAACTTGCACGTTAATCAGAGATAAACAACGAATTATTAAGAAAAGTCGGTTATTCTTATTTGCGTGCAGAACAGTATGCAAGCAAGTAAACTATCAATTTCCATGCCATGTTCCATTTTATTCTTTGCGCATCTCAGCGAATGAATGTAATGTTCAGAAAGAAACGTTACATAAATATTTATATAAAAGAGAAACTAGATTGTTTGTTCTAATAAAATATCAACAGAGATAGGATAAATTCTTATATGTCTAAAAAAATTGTAAAAAAATTGTGAAATAAAATGTTCAGATAAAGAAATAAGGTTTGGCGAGGACTAAGAGATGTCATTACAAAATTTAAGTATCCGACTTGATGTCAATGAAACTTAAATAAGGGACAGAATTCCGTTTTCGAAACATCTTTTGAGTACGGTCACGTCAAATTCAAAGCGGAATGAAAGAAAGTTGACGTTGATCGATCGATCGACAAATAGCGTAAAATGTATAGACATATTATGTGTATGAATGTATGTATACGCCATGATAGATGACGCATGCACATTAGAAAGATTTTTTTAAAAGACACATAAAAAGCAGAATAAAAAGATAGAAATCTTCTGATTAAAACAATTGTGTAACCTGTTGTGTAATGTAAATCAATATAACTAGAGTTGGGTAAAATACTATTTTATAAAATAGATGGCAGGAGGGAAAAGGCTATTACATAGTCCCGACCTGTTCTATAACTATCGCCGATGTAAAGAAAGACTTTAAGGTTAATCAATTATTATATACTGACCTATAAGGTCTTATCACAGGATTATTTAAAGCGTTATCTATATATATAAATATTTTTCATAATATATTATATTTTTAAATGTTATATTTTTATTTTAGTAATATTCATGGATAACTTAATTATTTTGTACTTTAATTTTAAAACGAGAAAATAAATTTATTCAATTATAACTATAATAAATTATAAATCTCCTAAGCAACTCTATTATATCTCATACTCAATAATACGTAATGACAAAATTTTTTAAATACCCAATTGTCATGAGCGATGTATTTACTCGTTTATTGTAGCATAGTAACGTTAACTCGACGGTATTTATATTCCGCAAATGTGGAAATAGCGGTCTTACCCTCCTCTGAAATTATGTATGTGTTGTGTCGTGCGTCGTCAAAATTTCGGTACCGTTCGTACATCCCACAAAACTGTAAATATTTATTTTTAATCTGCGCACTGCGTAATCGAATTCATCATCATTATATCTTATATCATAATTTACACCGGACACCTGCAGAATTAATAAACGCGCGTTACAACGCACATGGCGAGGCACTTATGGTACAAATGCATTCGATAACATCAAATACAATTACGTTTATATAACAGTAATAAACGAATCAAGATGACGTCTGTGTGATATACAAGCTACTTATGTCTGAGAAACGTTGATGCACGTGACGCGATTATCGTAGACATCTAAAACATTATGTTAGATTTAAAATCAAGATTATTATTTTTCGCGAAACGTTATCTTCATGAAAGCGTCATCAGCCACCCTATACTCGTTGATATCACGTGCGCAAATAATGGCATAATAGTGAAGACGTGAGATTATTTTTTCAACGAGAAAACTTGAAGGACCGTATTGCGTTGCGGGATACACGAACGATCTCGCGTAAAGTATTTGCATCACATAAAGGAGCCTCGTATGTATGCATAAGGGTGGCTTACATATCATCTCGCCGGCGGGGTCGCAGATGCTAGCGAGACGACCCCTGCGCGCCATCAAAAATTGTCCTGCAATGTCAACGGCGATACCGTGTCATTCGGACTAAAAGAATATTGATTTTCGAGAGAATTTGCGTTGAATCTTTTTAGATTATTAACAAGATGAGCGGATTAAACTAAATAATTCCCATTTAATTACAAAAAACAAAAATTCGTCTTTCTACAGAGAAAATTATTTAATTCTTTTTATAATTAGGTATTATTTGATATAATAAAACATTGTTATTGTTGGTTTATCATTTGTGTTTTTAATTAGAGAGAATCACGAATGTAAGTACGAGAATTGCGGTATTGATTTAGCTTATAGCTGTTCTTGATAAAGAATATTTTAATCACTTGTCTCAACATATACACGATGTTTATTAAAGAATTGGATATTGTGTGATGAAAAATGTTGACAAATTGATCAAGTGTATCTTGAATATTTCTCATCATTGATATGTGCATATAAAGGAATTCAATTTATTTACTTTGATTTGATAACTATTATAGTTTACGTCAAAGCCACATAACGCTTCGCTAAACTTCCATACTTAATAGCTCTCTCAATGTTCTAGTAAGTGGCATTTACAGCACAAACAGGAAGAAATTCATCAGACTTTTAAAAGCTGCTTTTCGCGATTTGTATTTTATTACATAAAAAGTATTTTGTATAAAAAGTACATACATATGTATAAAAAGTATTTTTTTAATATACGATATATAAAACTTTTATTTTAAATTACCTATATTAATAATAGATAAAACATAATTTTTTTTACTTATCCACAATAATTAAATAATGAACAAAGGAATTTTTGTTTGACGTCATTTCATTTTTCCCCTATTATTATCTGTTATTAAAATTTATTAAATTTATTAAATTTATGATATTTACTTATACGATGTGACTTTCATATTTACTTTTTTCTAAATATTTTTTTAATATTGATCAATAAGTGAATTAAATAATTGATTATTCTATGTAGAATTAAATGATTGATTATTCTATGTAGAATTGAAATTATTTATGATTTGATTAATATAAATCGATTTTTTAATTTTGCACAAAAAAATGTTTAAAGATCCATCAAATTTAATTAAAATCCATTGCTAAACTAACTAAAGAATAAACAAGTTATAATTAATATAAGATTCTATAAAGTTAGAAGATCCTTCGATATTATATAAAATAAGCTGTATCTATCTATAAGAGAAATCGAGTGATTTGAGATCTGATATTAATTGATTCAGCCTGTAGTGATAGAAATTAATATATGAACTGAGAATTAGAAATGATATATTTCAGCATTTTCAGGAAAATATTTAAGTCTAATATGAACACAATTTTTAATAAATGGATAATACAATATTTAATACAATATTAAATCTATTTAATATGTTTCAATTACATCAGTTTTAATTTTAATATTCTTTGTTTTTCGAAATAGATTTTCGATTTCTTTTTATAAAATATTTTTTTAAACGTTCATTCTTTTTTTGTTGTCAGTTTTTAAAGTTTGAGTATATAAAATGATTTTATTATTATTAACATTATTATTATTAACATCGATAACAATGATTAATACATTTTTAAGGATTATGCATTATTGGCACTGAATGTATATTCTTTAGAATTTATTAGCTATTGTAGATACGAAGATATTGTAAATAAATAAAATGATATTGCGGTCAAATCATGAACGTTTCGCTGCGACAGAAATTAAATGAATAGTGTTATAGTTAACTGATAAGAAATTGCAATCTGTGAAAACCCTTATTTTTCTCAAGAAATCCATTTTCTGAAGATGTAATTGTAACGAGTATTCGTTTCATCGACTTTCAAGCAAAATAACACGAAATATATATATACCAAAATAGATATATCTTTGTAAAATATATAACATAACAATAGATACTTCTCTTATGTTCAATCTCATTTCTTGTGCATATTCTTTTTAATTGGAAGATTTGTATTTAAAAAAAATGAATATATCAATATAAAATTATATTTGAATTAAAATTTAAATATATTTCTTTTATGTGATTATTCTTTTAATTTATAGAAATTTGATTAATTTGTAAATAATTTGCACAATATTTATTTACAAATATATCTAATTAATTGAGAATATTTTGAATATGCAAAAAGCAATATGTTTTCACTTAATAGAAACGTTCAAAGATTTGACTGAGAGAAAAGCGCCTTGAAAACCTGATGATCAATATTTTCCAAGAAGTTCTTCATCTTTATCGTGTTTTACTCATTACAAGCGATAACTTGATCAATTATTTTAACGTCTTCTAATTTTTAATAAATGTACTTCAAGACAAATCGTTTCTTCGATTTTATCCGATTTTGAGCATATTCTATTTTATCCAGAAATTTTCGTTAAAGTTCTTTTAATGTACTATTAAATTACACAAAGATCTTTTGATGTATCAAATTAAAGAGCTATAGAAAAAATAAAACTAAATTAATATACAAACACATTTTACTTGGAACAATATTAGCTTGATTATTTAAAATAAAATATTTAATGATGAAAAGCCAAATTTTATGAGAAAACAAATTTTTATCAAAAAAAAATGTTTATCATTAACTCGACAATGGCAATTTTTTTTGCATAATTTGTATACTAATTTTATAAAAATTGATTGAAATTGTTATTTAATGTCTTATGTTTATATTATTGTTATTTTAATATAAAATACAAAAATATTATTTCTTTCGCGCTTTTAATAATTTTATAAAACTTTTTTTTATTAAAGATAATAAATTATTACTGATGAATCAAGCTAAATCTTTATGCTAATATATATATATTACAAGTTAAAAATTATATAAATAAATTAATAACAAAATAATAATATTTTGTATACCAAATAGAAGGATTTTGTATATCATTTCTCAAGTAATTTTCTTCTTTTTTTTCATCTTGGTTATGCACATAAAAATCATTCCCTTATACTGAAGGATTACTACATTTCAGTATCGACTGTGTTCTTATATTCGATCGTATCAGAAGTAGGGTGAACATCCGGATAAATCTCGACAAGTGGTTGGCGCGCTGCCATATTCGGTTCGATACTGTCGCAAAAGTGCAGACACTTCAGCATTTTGAACTGGTTTTAGTACGATAAAGTAGTTGCAAATTTTCAACAATTAGTGTAATAATTTCATGCAATGACCGCTATTTTTGAAATGGGATTAAATTTGAGTGGACGAAATAATATAGCACTGTTAACGAAGTATGAAGCTCACGCTGCTACAAAATGCAAGGCTGCGAATCTCGTTTCATTTTTAGACACTGGCACAATCTTCTTTTGTTAGATTTACCAACTGTCTGTTCTAAACAACAAAAGCAGAAAATGTATATCTTCACATAACTGAAATTTGACTCATATAAATTAGATATTTTATATTTATAGACATTATCTTTAATTAAATGGATGCTTTGTTAGAAGCTATTAAATGTAATATTAAATAAATAAGAAATTCATGTGAGAGTAAAAGAATTGTTTCTGTTTTAAAAAATATACAATATTTTGCATATAAAAACAATTTGTAATTTATAAATTAAATATTATTAAAATGAAAACATATTGATAATAATTATAAAATTATTTTTGTATTTCTCTTTAATTTACATAATATTTTTCTTACGTGTGTAAAACAATTATAAAATATAGTATCCAAGTTATAAATAAATTGAAAAATTAATTTTACGTATATTAGAAATATTTATGTATCGTTTTTAAGAACGTAGTTGATGCCAAATTCTAGAGTTGAAAATAGTATAAATATCATGGAATGAGTACGATATTATAAGACTTGACTATTTCATTGAATTGCAAGTGCATTAAATTAACTTTCAAGCTGAATGATTGTAGACATTAGTTTTTATCTAATCTTGTAAATTCTTAGTGCGATTATAAACTTATTTTATTAAAATTAAGTATTTTACTTAATATTGCTTATAATAAAATGTTTCTTTCAAAGAAAATTTATTTAATATCTTCTTAGTTTCAACATAGTCTAAAATATATTGAAAATATATTGATATGTTGAATATGTTGAAGATTCTTGTGATTTTATTAAGATAAAATATGGGGATAATGGCTAAAATCGAGCAATTACGTCACAAAATAAGAATACTAATCAAATTTATTCTTTGAGAAAATATCAAAATAAAAAAACGTTTCAATTCTACTTAATCTCTATCAATTTGGTAAAAAATATCAAATCTTCCTATCCCTCTGATGAAAATTTAGTAAAGTTCTCAGAGAAAAAATTTTATTTATTGTTCTTATTTTGCAACATCCATTATTACTCGATTTTGGCTACTTACAAAAAGTCTTATACTTTATTCATTATATATCAAGAATTTATTCTTGATTTTGCATTTTCGTGTGATTTCGTATATGTACCGATAAAGTTATATTGCATACGTAATTAACGTTTCGCATGCCTACGTGTGAATTCTCCTTTCTACCGCAACGTTCTATTACGCCACAGTATTTGAAACATCCGTTTATTGGTAGGAATGTTGGATAATATCTAATCAAATGATATATCGAAATAGTTATTATATGAAACAATGTATAAATGTTTTGTGTATAGAATATATAAATAAGTTACGTATAATTTAACAATAGAGAAACATGTACCAATCTCAACAAACATCAACTAACAATAATTATTAATTATAATTTCTTATTCAATAATATAACAGTAATACATTCCGTTGGCATTCCAAAATGTTGGCATTCCAAGAATGGATCTGGACACGGAAAAAACCCGCAAAACGTATAATCTTTAAACAGTAATACATGTTGCACGTAACAGTTATATTTTTGAGTGAGAAATTATAAAAATTTGTAACTAACAATTATGTTTATTATTAGATGGTGTTATGATATTATTAGATGGTGTTTGTTAGAAATAGAAAGTACAAAATTCATTTTTGATGAAGTATTATAGTATAAGTACATCCTATTAAATTAATTCCCTGACGTTGAAGGATAACTGAATTAACATTAGTAATCTACAAAAGGAATGTTTAAACATCTATTTCATAATTATCACATCTGCACAATATTATTTTGTATGTTCGTCGTTATACTTTGATTTATGTATAGTACCGATATGTCATTATACTTTGTCACTGATTGAACAAGGTCGAAATATTGCATAACGCGACATCATTATTGAGCCGCATAATTTTGTGGAGCACAAAAGAAGAAATGAAATAAAAATCGAGATTTACTTGGTCTATCGTTGTCGGCGTCCTCCTTACCACAGGGGTACGGCTGCCGTTGCGAATGGTGATGTTTATGGTGTCGGCGGTGTCTTCTTTCCCCTGGTAAATGCACGCCCACATACACCGTGTGCGCTCTGTGACCTGGAAGCAGATGAAAGAGATGCCCCATCATATACAGTGTATGTACAGAGTCACAACTCACACCTGAAGAAGATGCGCGGATTTAGAGCGATTCTGCCTGATATGAAAGTGCACGCGACACACGAACTTTTCTTTCATTATAAAAGAAAATTAGGTCAGCGTCATTTAATCGCATAATCCTATCTGCGAAAATGTTCGCGTGAAACAAGTAGATCCTGTAGAAGTGAAACATCGTTGTGTTTGATGAGATTCATTTACGCATTAGCTGTATGTGCCAATTGGCTGCATGTGTTCGAATGAAAGATCAGGTGAAGATGAATTCACACAAAAAGGTCAAAATATTTGTACCGAGTTTATAACAATAGACATGAATAATTGGATGACATATATTATATTATTGATGTACCATTAACTTAATTTTTCCGATATTATATAATTTACAAGGCTAATTATTACGCCCTATAAATATAAGAAATCTATTCATTTTTAGCTGCTTTTATTAACTAATTGTATCGTCTACATTATTATACACGTGTCAAATTACAAAAGATATATAATAACTAAGTGGACAGATAGTTTATTATGCTATTTAGAGTCATTAAAAACGTGATTTACAGACATATAAACATAA